ACTGGATTCACTTTGTATTAGTCTTTTTCCTGCTTCACAAAGGTAGGCAGCAGCTTGACAAAGCTATGATGGTAATTATTTTACATCCAAGTAGTATGCAGTTCTTCATATATTCACACACATCAATTTCAAATGGATGGTATCGGCCGATACTGCACAGCCAGGAATCGGGGCCTAAAAATGGCATCGGCGCAACACTAGTCATAATGTTCACCGTTAACAGGAAAAAAAACATTTGAAATGTATTACTTTCTTTAACGGCAGACTTTGTGACCTAAAGAGGCCAATATACTGCACTTGACATTATCAATGCTACAAGCGGGGCTCCCCTCTTGAAATACTGACTATGTAAAGCCCGCTGTACACTGTGCGATTTTCTGGCTGATTTTCCAGTCGTGCGAGAACCTTTCGATTGTGCCGATTTTAAGCTTGATTGTGTGTCGTGAGTCGTGTAGTATACAGGGGGTTACGAGCGGCGATCAGCCTCTCTAAACCACCTCCCAACCAGGAATCGTGAGGTTGGGAGAAAATCAAACATCGACCGTCGTGAACAAATCGCTCAGGGCGCATGCGCAAAGAAGGATTCTGCTTTTTCTTCTTCCTCTCAGATGAAAGCACAGAAGCATGGCAGAGATGCAATGAGTGAAACGCAGTTCTTTCTGTCAAATTGACAGACAGTAGTAGCCGACGTGCTTTTTAGTCGCACAGTGTGAGCAGGTAGATCGCATCAGAGCGTCGGGCCGAACATAAATCGTGAGCTGTGAACGCACACTGTACCACTAAACCCTGCGATTAGTTGTATTGTGTGAGCAGCAGCTGCGTGCAATGATTGAAAGAAATTGCACAGTGTACGCTTAAGTTGGAAGAAGACCCACTGTCGTTGGCCAGGTCATGTGACCTGGAAGAACGCATCACTTTACGGCCACAGGCTTTTTATATAATCATGGAGCGAAGGCTTTTACTCTAATTATTAGCGCAGTCCTTCCAATAAAGATGCAAGTTCGACTCACTGCAGCGCTGTCAGATGTTTTTAAAGTGACCACGCAATCCAACAAACTTTTCTCCTCTTGTTCAAGACGCTTTATTATCCAAATACAAACTTGGATCTTCTTGCCGCAGTATGACATGACAGGCACACCTGCAGCTCATTGCCTCATTAGCTGTGGAGTGCTCTTAAGCTGCTGACTGCCACTACCTCTACTCCAGAGTGTTTGCCAATACTGGATACTCTAGCCATGCTTAGTTTAGCAGAGTCTAACCTGAGTTTTTGGTTGCCAGTTTGTGGTACTCTAGCGAAGCTGAGTTTTGCTGAGTCAAACTGAGTTTTTGTCAACCTGAGTCTTAACTTTGTTTTTTTGTCTTTGCCTCTCGGCAGGAAGTCATCCTGAAAACTGGATTTTTTCGGACCTTCTCTCTCTGGAAGGATCAACTGAGCTTCTAACTGAGCTGGGGTTCCAAACAGGAAGTTTGGATTAGGGTTGTCAAAAGTATCGATACTCCAAAAAGTATCGATACTAAAACGTTGTATCCAGATACGATACTCAAATTTAAAAGTATCAATACTACTGCAGCTGCCGCCGCGCGCGCGCGACGCTGACCGGCCTTCTCTAGCTGCCTTCACATACACACGGCAGCATGTAGCCTCTCCCTTCAGTCTGCAGGACCACATACCAAATTAAATTATAGTATAAGCAGGTCGGTAGCTAGAAAATATAATTAAAAAAACTAAGAGCAATTAATTAAATAATTGGATGCAGACTATTGGTGCTTCAACAGACCAGGAAGAAGTTGTGAGATTCTCGAGCAAATCTCACAACTTTAAAAGAAAATTCTTATTGCAGGAATGGATGAAGAAATGATGAGTTTGGAAGCAGAGAACAAACAGAGTTCATACATATGTTTGATCCTAGCTATTCCTGTTATAAAAATCCACAACAGAAAGAAAATATTTGGGCAGAAACTGAACATCTGCTGGATGATGATGGATTTTTTATAATATGTCATATTAAATTAAACTTTCACAGGGTTTATACAGGAATAAGGAACTCTAATTTAATGCTATTAGAAATAATGTTAATGCCATCAACAAGTATCATGTACACAAGTTTACATGAAATAAGGAGCTGTAAGCACAGTTCCATGACTCAAGTTTGTAGGTAGATAGATAGATAGATAGATAGATAGATAGATAGATAGATAGATAGATAGATATATATATAGCTAGACAGAGAACATGCTGAAGACTTTTTTGTAATGGGCAGCTGCTGAGAATACAGCATTTATTTTTGTTTAACTGGTTTGGCTAGTGTCATTGTTCTGTTTGTAAAGCATAGCCAAGGAAGGAACACTTAAGTTAATTTGGTTATTTTTTTAATCAAGCTTGCTTAATATTGTGCACAGAAGACTACCTCAAAATATTGTTCTTATTGTTTATTTATCAATAAAAATGTTTCTGTTGAATTTTGAGGTCTTCGTTTTTTACCTTGTGGTATCGAAAATGGTATCGAGTATAAAGTATTTTTCTGAGTATCGGTATCGAGTTGAAAATTTTAGTATCTTGACAACCCTAGTTTGGATCCACTTTCCCCAAGAGGTCGTTTGAGCTTCACACCGAACAAAGGCTTCATCTGCACCACAGCCCATTCAAGTACCGCAGGAAATCTGAGTGGCAGTCAGCTTCTCCGTTCATCAAGGAACAACCGCAGTCTGAGTAAACCCTGTCCGCCCAACACCAAACAAGACAATCTCTGGAACATTCCACACAGACTGGATTCCATAAAGGACACCTTTTTCTGGAGAAGTGAGTCTGCAACCTATTCCTCCGATTCAAACCAAAGAATCGAATTTCCCACTGAGTCTGAACTAACCGCAGTGTCTTCCCCTCACTTTCCAGTTCCGGTTTGACAGTGTTCAGAGCAGCACTGGACTCATCTCAATATTCTTAATAAACCTGTTAAACTTTTCTCTGATCTCTCTGTTTGGTCTTCTGCATTTTGGGTCAGGCTTTTAATTAAATCATGACAGAACACTCTGGAGTAGAGGTAGTGGCAGTCAGCAGCTTAAGAGCACTCCACAGGTAATGAGGCAATGAGCTGCAGGTGTGCAGGGAGAACCAATGAGGACGGGGCACCACCTGGTGGAGGAGGAAAGGAAACACAAAAACAGACCACACAAACTGGATTCCTGACAAAGACGGGGTCCGTCTGTAAATACTTTAATAATCCCAGGGAGAAATGACTTTCCTTACATTCCTCCATATGCAATAGAGTGAGTAAAGAACCTGTGTAATACAGTTTCATACAATATATAAAATTAGGGATTCCCCGCTCCATCTTGGCATTAGTTTGGAGGTCCTTGGCCTGGAAAACGTTGAAGACCCCTAATCTAAATATTTAATTCAGGTTAAAGTATACCTGCCATGTCACATGCCTTAAACCTATTATTCCCATTGGTGCAGAACCCCTTTGAGTAATTGTACATTTCAGACCATCGAAATCTACAAAAAAAAAAAAAAATCATATACATTGTTTTTTTTGTGAAGTTTTGTACTTTTATTTTATTACCACTCTGAACTTTTTGTGAATGCAACATTTAAAAAGAAATTATCGCTTTGATGAAAAGGTTGTAATGTACAATGGAATTAGGGCCAGGCTAGGACCACGCTTTTTTTCCCTCTTCTATTACGAGAATAAAGTCGTAAAATTATGAGAATAAAGTTGTAAAATTACGAGAATACAACCGCAAAGAGAATAGTCATAAGATTACGAGAATAAATCGTAACAATATGAGAATAAAGTCGTAAAATTATGAGAATAAAATCGTAAAATTATGAGAATAAAGTCATAAAATTATAAGAATAAAGTTGTTCAATTATGAGAATAAAGTCCTAAAATTCCGAGAATAAAGTCAGAAAATTACGTTAATAGTCGTGAAATTACGAAAATAAAGTCGTAAAATTACGAGAATAAAAATCGCAACGAGAATAGTCATAAAATTATGAGAATGAAATCATAACATTACGAGAATAAAGTCATAAAATTACAAGAATAAAGTCGTAAAATTACGAGAATAAAGTTACAGTGGAAATAGTTATAAAATTACGAGAATTAAGTCGTAACATTACCAGAATAAAGTCGTAAAATTACTAGAATAAAGACGTAAAATTACGAGAATAAAGTCACAAGAATAGTCCTAATTTTACAAGAAAAAAATCGTAACATTACGAGAATAAAGTTGTAAAATTACGTGAATAATGTCGTAAAAGTATGAGAATAAAGTCGTAAAATTATGAGAATAAAGTCATAAAATTCAGAGAATAAAGTCGTAAATTTATAAGAATAAAGTTGTAAAATTACGAGAACAAAGTCGTAAAATTACGGTGATAACAATTGTAAGAGAACAGTCATAAAATGACGAGAATGACATCATAACATTACGAGAATAAAGTTGTAAAATTATGAGAATAAAGTTGTAACATTGCGAGAATAAAGTCGTAAAATTACAAGAATAAAGTCATAACGAGAATAGTCATAAAATTACAAGAATAAAGTCGCAATATTAAGAGAATAAAGTCCTAAAATTAAAATTACGAGAAACAAGTTTTATTTTATGACAACTCTGACAAGAAGCACTTTCTTCCCTAAAATGAGGAATGTGGAGCATCATGTTAAGTTAAACTTTGGTGGTTTTTCTGGTTTGATAAATAAGGAAATGTTTTAGCAGCAGCATCAAATTGGTCGGAAGGTCAAAGTGGACTCAGGTTGCTGATTGGTGACTTTATTTTCGCAATGTTATGACTTAATTTATTCTCATAATGTTACGTCTTTATTCTAGTAATATTACAACTTTATTCTCGTAAAATTACTACTTTATTCTGAAAAAAGAAGAAAAAAATCTCTAGCCTGGCTCTACTCCGTCGTAGTAATGACCTATCAATTATAGCGGGGGTGAGTAAAACTACTATTTGTCAGAGGTCCTTGAACGCAGCACTAGCTTATCTCCGTTTAGCTAAGCTAACATAACTGTATACAGTAAAGCAGCTTCATTGTCTGCCAGCTGAGGCATACCCACGGTAAGCTGCGGGCTTTGTTGACAGTCAGTGTTTTTAAAGCGTCGGTTAGCATGCGGCTAACAGAGGAGCGTGTTCCGCTGTTATATAAAGTTAAGGGTGAGAGTTAAACAGCCCCTCCGGTTAGCTGCGGGTGTTAAAGCCCCTCCACAGACAGCTCTCTGCTGGCACTCAACACCGCGTCACACAAGCCAAACTTAAAGCGGCTGTCAGAGCTGCGCCTTCTCCGCTCCTTCAAACCGGGACAACCTGCGCCAGTTCCTCTCCATCCTCCCCGGGCAGCGCGATAAGGTAAGGGGAAAGAAAACAGCTGGTTTTCTCCGTGTTTTATTTTTTAGTGACAGAGCGCGTGCAGAGGAGCGCACGCGGAGCCAGACAGAGAGAGGCTGCTCTCATCCACTCTGTGCTGCTGCTGCTGCTGCACACCGATCAAATGCTTTGTTCTGCTCTGCTGCCCGCTGTCTCTGTGCAGAGATGCATTTACAAATCGACGTCGAAAACATACAAATAATAGATGCACATTAATGAAACCGTATTGCACCGTGATGATGAGCAATAATAATTGAGCTGTCATATTAATTGAACAGGAATTTTATGAGTTCCTTGGATCTGTTAGGGAAGAATTACCTGCTGTGGAATGACTGGGATGAGAAGGCAGCTGCAGGAATAATTTTTATCACTAAAACCATATGATTTGGAGAGCAAACAGTCGTTTTTTAACTTTAGTGGGATATAATTTACAAAATGACCTGTTATAAAACAGGTGAGAGCGCAGCTCTCCTTCTGAGATTTGGAGGGAAAATTCAGTGCTGCATTGCATTTGCTGCCTGACCTTTACTGCAACATCTTAATTTATGTTATTCAATTTAACTCACACCCTTTAAACATTTTTTTAAGCATCTCGCAATTGGTTTTAACCTGAAACAGACACCAGTTAGTTTCTAAAGCTGCAGCTGGATTAAAATGTTACATTTGATAACTGAAATCTTAAAAGTGTGGAGTGTACCTGGTTTCAGGTTCTCTGCAATCATAGTGTTGAATCTCTGGGCTCTTAACTCAAGATCAGGCAGATTGGATGGAGAGCTAAAGAAGAGAGGATTCCCACAGCATGATGCAGCCACTACCAGATTGATTTATCCACATCTGATGTTAAGGTTAAATAGCAGGAGCTGGAGGATTTTTTTCAGCTTTTTATTGAAAATCTTTGTCTTTAAAGTTGTGGGGAAATCATATTTAAATTTCAAATCATTCTGGCTCAAACATGTATATAAATGTACTCTTTATCAGACCATTTTTTTTTTTAAACAAGGATTTTCTAAATTTTGGGACAATATCGTCTGATAAAGAGTACATTTATATACATGTTTAAGCCAGATTGATTTGACATTTAAATATGACTTCCCTACGACTTTAAAGATTTTCTTCATTGATTCCAAAGATGAATAAAATCAGCATTTATTTTTTCTAAAAAGAAACTCTTTTGTTTCTGATCGTGAGAAATATTTGCTTCTCTGCCGGATGAAGCAGCAAACGTGGCTAAAAGGCACAGACGAACCTTTCCGGTTCTTGATCTGACGGCCCATGTCTCATTTTCCACATGGTTTGATTTGATGCTTCCTTTCAATGTTAACTCACAGTTTACAGACGACACCCCCGTGTTTTCTTAGGTCTATAATTTGGTTGCTGGAGGTCATTTCCTGCTGTCAGTTTTTTTTTTTTTGTCTCAAATGTTTCCAACCACAAAATGAAATATTGAATCTAAGTAGAATCTGCAAACTTCTGTAGCTTAGTGACTTTCTGTTGAATGTTTTAAGTTTATTACTTTATGGAATCTGACATTACATTGAATTGGATTATAATTAGATTTAATTGAACTGTGAAACTGTTTATCTATGCCACACTGAATGTATTTTATTCTGGATAGGAAGTGGATACATAAACTAAAAAAAAAAGTCCTCATGGTTCCAGTTAGAAAGTATTTTGAAGTCAGTGAAACTACATTTGACCTGAAGTGATGTTTTATGATTTATTCCAGGCAAAAACACAGAAAACCAAGTATTTATAATTATAAGGATAAGAGATTTTTTTCTGCTTTAATTTGAGTCAAAATGACTATTTTTCTGTAACATAGAATCAATGAGGTTAGGTTTAGACATTTTCTTAACAGGGGCGGTTCTAGACCACATTTACTAGGGGCGGCAGTTTTTATAGGGGCACACAAGAGCATGAACCAAGAAAAAAACAGGGACATAGTCATTGTTTAAAATATAAAAAGAAACAAAGAGCCTCTGGTTTAATCGAGTGGCAAGATTCTTATTGAAAATGTGTATTTTTGGGGGCATTTTTTTGTTTTACAGTTTACACTTTACCTTAAATTAAAAAAAAGATCCTTACAATACGAAAAATTAACTGAAATAATTAGTTGCTAATTAAAATGAAACTATTCTTTGGACTATTAGGTCAATGTACATCCATAATTTGGAGTTATTAGATATTTTTGATTTAATTTCAATGAAAATTACCAGTTTTGATTGAACCAGAATTAGAACATGAATTAAACTGATAAATTCAGCTGTAACAAATTTGAGGGTTTTTAGTAGATGAAACTGTGGTTCTTTCTCAATAAAACTCAAGCCTTCACCTTAGGAGATCTTGGAAAAACAGATCCAGCAAGTTATTTTATGAACACACACAACCATGCCTCTGCCTTCAGAAAGGCATGCAGAGCGCTATGATCACTTCTCTGAAACGGTTTTTTAACGCCTAAATTAACTTAAAATGTAGAAATCTGCCAGCAAAACATGCTCGCTTTTATTATCCTGGTGCCTGCAGTTTGGAATACGTACATGAAAAAACGCCTTCCAACCGCGGCAAACCGCGAGGAGGGACCGGGCCAGAGGCTGCTGTTGAATGGGATTCCTAGTGACAGCGCACCGCTGGTGTACCGGGGCCTGAGCGGCTCCCACAGAAATAATATTTGAAGGCAGGATGGTAACCTGGATGGACTGACTGCATAGATTAAGTTTTCAGGTGGACTTTCTCACTTAAAAACATATTAAAACTACTTTATTCCCACTGATCACAGCAAATATAGCTGCCATTGTTACAGGCAAAGAAAGTATAGGGTAGCTCCGCCCAACGTGCATCAAACCCACTTTCCCACCGCGCAGCTAGAGCAGCAAAAAAGCTTCAGCCGCGCATCAGAACTAAACCTGTATAAGCATAAAAAATGAAGCAGCACGCGCGTTTTTGCTGCTCTTGCTGCTTTAGGTGTGAACGTAGCATAGCAGGGGCTAGCTTCCAGCCACGTCGTCCTGCACAAGCATTGGGAGGTTGATTAGTTCATGTGTCAGGGTACGCGCACAGGGGGGAGGGACAAGCAGACGGCCATGATGTCAGTCATGTATCATGTACAACGGACTGTCTTTTGTGATTGATTTGGGACCAGTTATTTTAGTTTCACTTCCAGACCTTCTATTTCGTTGCTTGCTAAGCGCATATGGGGAGATCTTTAATCTTTATTTTTTCCTACTTGCTTTGATTCTGTTTTATTTTCCAATATTTTAATCATGCAAAGCACTTTGCATTGTCTTTGTACTGAATTGTGCTATACAAATAAATTTGCCTTGCCTTGCCTTTAAGCAACACGATAAAAAATGCACCAGAAAAGATCCCCTACTGCACCTTTAACTTTAAAATCATAATTAAAATAGAAAAAAATGTAATTAGTCCAAGGCAGCTATTGGTCGCTATGTCTGTTCCAGTGCATATGATCAATAGAAATACCTTTCTTTTTTATTAGAGGGGCCATAACAGGAGCCAGGACTAGTTCTACAGGGGCCCTGGCCCCCGTTGGCCCCTCTCTAGATCCGGCCATCATTTTTAACCTCAGAGGATGGACCGATTGAGCAGCATCGCATGCAACAATTATCTTCAAACTGATAGTTGTTAGTTGTAGCTTTGCTGTTGGTAAAAAGGTAAAAAACCTGTTTCATGTAAGAAATGTTAACTGGGAAAGAATTCATGTAGTGAATCGCAACATTTCGAATGTTTTCATTTTTACAGAAAAAGTATTCTAGCTTCATGGTCCTTTTAACCTGGTTAAGACCGAGATCTAAAAATGTTGTTGTTGCCTTTAACTCCGACTCATCATCTGAGCCAATATGTTGGGATATTTGATGTGAAACTAATTATTAGATGTAGGCATCCTAGTTATCGATTAGTGAGTTGATTGATCTTATCGATTGACTATTGGTATATAAAATCTTATACCGTAATTTTTGGACTATAAGCCGCAGGTTTTTTATGTTTAATTACCATATGGTTCGTGCACAGAGAGGATTGTCGGGAAAGAGGCAACTGTTTGGGGAAGCTCCTATTTATTAACATTTCAATTGAATTGAGACAATTCTTCCTGCTGGCGTCTCCAACGTCTCACCATTGATTCCAAGGTTACATGCAGCGGTTCTATTTCCTTCGTTTACTGCCAAATTGACTGCCTTTAAAGGAATAGTACACCCAAAACATGATTAGCCTTCATTTTCTACTCACCCCCATGCTGAACAACACTCTGGAGTACTTTTTTGATATCTCAAATGCATCTGGAGATCTGGGAGGCTTCTTGCTGTCTGCTGACATTCAAATAATGGAGGTCTATGGCGCCCGAGACAGAAAGGTCCATAAAAGTCCACAAAAACGTGTCAATATTCCTCCATACTGCTCGTCCAATGTATTCCAAGTGTCCTGAGTGGGTAGCATCCAGAATTTACTCGAAACAAAGTCATTTAGAATGTTTTTAGAGCATAAACAGTAGTGTATAGGATTTCCTGAAAGCGCGCGACAGCGCGTTCATGACGCTACGGAAGCCGGCAGACCAAGCCAGATGAAAGTGCGCATTCAGCGTCTGCTCTGCCAATAATGCAAGCGTAGAAGAAGAAATGTGCCGTTTACCTGTGCAAAGAAAGAAACAACGAAAGAAAAATGTCTGAGGACTTCAGTGTTGAGGAAGAGCATGAGTTCTCTGCCGAGCTGAATGCGCTGGTTTGGTCTGCCGGCTTCCGTAGCGTCGGGGGCGCGCATGTGCGCGCTTTCAGGAAATCCTATACACTACTGTTTATGCTCTAAAAACATTCTAAATGACTTCGTTTCGAGTAAATTCTGGACGCTACCCACTCAGGACACTTGGAATACATTGGACGAGCAGTATGGAGGAATATTGACACGTTTTTTGTGGACTTTTATGGACCTTTCTGTCTCGGGCGCCATAGACCTCCATTATTTGAATGTCAGCA